GTTACTTACACTGCCTGGGGCAAGAAGCATTTTTTAGCACTAGGGTGATCAGATCACGAGTGAAATATCAGGACACATTGGGCGAGCGGGGGGGTGGTGGGGGGAGGGACAGACAGTCAGTCAGACAGGTGCACAGCCCCGACCGGAGCCAGAGGCACACTGGTCCGCCTGGCCCTGTGCTACCAGTGTGCCCCTTCCTGTTGGGGGTGGGCCCATGCTGGGCCACACAGCTCCCCTGCCCAATGCCCCCTGGATCCACTGTGCCCAGAGCCCCCCTACAGCCCTTCCACCACAAATGTACAGTGCTGTGCGCACACACCCCACCCAGCGCCCCCCTGCCCACAGCTGCCCAGCACCCCACACAGAACCCCACTCGCCAGTTTCCCAATACACAGATTTTCCCTCCCTCCCTTCCTTCCTCCCTCCCTCCCAGTGCCCTTCCCCACAGCTGCACCACCACAACTACACAATGCCCCACGCAGACCCGCACTGCCCAGTGCCCTGACACACACAGATCTCCCCCACTGCCCAGCACTCCCCAACAGGTCTCCACTGTCTAGCACCCCAAAACACCCAAACCTCCACCAGCGCCCCCCACAGGCCTCCCAGACACTCACTCCATCACACCCTGCCGCACTCACCAGCCTTGCTGGGAGGTCTCTGGCTCCTAGGGTGAGAGCGGCGAGGGGAGTCTCTAGACTCTCCACATGCTGTGCCCGCCACAAGTGCGAGCTCCGTGGCTCCCATTGGCCGGGAAAAGCGTCAATGGGAGCTGCTGGAGCCATGGAGCGGGGCTTGCAGGCGCCGGCAGCACGCAGAGCCCCCCCCATCCTAAGAGCCAGAGGGACCTGCCCGGGGGCGAGGTGGGGAGTCCCGGCGGTGCTCACCTGGGGTGGCTTCCATCCCGGGAAGCATCCGGCAAGCTGGTCCCTCTGGCTCCTAGGGTCGCGGGTCGGGTCGGGGGGGCGGAGGGCTCTCTTCCCGCTCCTGGTGCCTGCAAGCCCTGCCCCTGCAGCATGTGGCGCTCCTGCCGGCGGGCAGGTGCTGGGAGCTGCCCCAGGAAGAGGTGAGCGGCAGCGCGGACAGTCCCCGATATCGGGACAAAGGGCGTCCCGACCAGTCCCTTAAAATCAGGACTGTCCCGATAATATCGGGACGTCTGGTCACCCTATTTAGAACATAAGAATGGCCACACTGGGTCAGACCAAAGGTCCATCTAGCCCAGTATCCTGTCTGCCGACAATGGCCATTGTGTGCACAGTGGCTAGCACAGTGGGGGGCCGGCAACTGTTTGGGGCTGCTAGATGCTATCCCAATGCAAACTGCTCCTGTTGTTGATGTTGTTTCCACGACAATGGTGGTGGGGGAGGGGATCTGATAGGTGTGCTATATAAATTACTTAAATGCATTTATGCAAAAATAATTAAGCATTTGGAAGTGTTAGAGAATTCTTCTCCTTTGGGCCTTAATCTGGAAAAGGATCCAAATAAAAGCAAGGTAGGGCTTTAACGAACTGCTTTAAAAAAATCTCTAAACTTCTTAGAAACGGTGAGGATTTGCAACTGTCAGCAAGTATAAAAGAAACCATATGTCGGCATAGGCCAGCTGCTTTATCTAGGCTGAGAATTTGTAAATTCTAATTTAAACTGAAATAGTAATGCCGGCAGCTGGGGGCTCTCTGACAGCATGGAGCTAGAGATCTAATTTTAATTAGAAAATACGGATGCAGCATTTTAGAAAGAGCTGGTCCCTGTGTCTGTCCAAGTGAACGCTGCATTAGCTTGTTACTTCTGCAGCCCTCTGCATTTACACGTTTTATACGCCATGTTTTATTTCACGTATTGATTTCTAGATTATGATGAATAGCCCAGCACGTCCACCATCCGGACGACATAATCATTTTTCCGCTTGAGGGGGGGAAAGTCCACGGATCTCTTACGGGGGTTTCCCGTGCTTGCAGGATGCTGGAGACAGAACTGTTAACAAATCATGAGCTTGATCCTGCAGACAGATCCACATACACGGGCCCGTGTTCCTGTGTGAATCTCTGCAAGGATACACATGGGAATAAGGCTCCGTACGTTCAGATCTGTTTGTTTGCTGCATCTTTGATTAGGTCTCCTCCTATAAAGCAGGTTCATCATTTCAGCCCCTCTGGTGGTGTCTGGTACCCGGAGCACTTGAATATGTTACCGTCTTGCTTTTAAACCAAATCAACATTTGACATTCTGCTGTTGGACAGCATTAGATGTCTAATTTTTCCCTTCATGCTTTTCGGCAAATAGAGAAGAAGAAATTGCAAATAAAGCACGTTGTCCTTGTGAGGCTATTTTTTCTGTTTCATGTCAGTTTAGTGCCGTTATTTTAAAGGAAGGCAGCTATTACAGTGTCAGTATCTGGAATAGGGGACCAGCAGGGAGCCCAAGATACTATCCATCAGCTCTTGACAAAGCGGTATCTGGGAAAGTAAATGGATGGTGTTTCAGCTGTAGGGCTTTTACAGATAAATATGCCCTTGTTACTGCGAGGAATTACTGCTGCATGATGCACATTGTTGTCTTTGTGTTGAGCGCACGCAGCCGCTGACACTGCTCTGACAGCACCGCTGATTACAGCTCATGCATACATTACTGAAGATGTAGCATTTTTCATTGAGTTAACTATATCTGCAATAACAAGCCGTTCGTTTCATTGTTAGGTGACACAAAGGATTGCTCTTTCTCCTCCTGATTTTCCTTGTCATCTTAGTGGTTTTCAGTTTACCCAGGCCCTCAAATATCTTTAAATTATATGTGGCAAGCAGGCACCGTAGGTTTATACTTAAAACAGCCGAGAGAAGTAATTTAGAATTGCAATAATTAACTTGTGCCTGTAGGGATGACATGAGGCAAATGCTGTTTTTTTTTTTTTATAGTATGAGTAACAAATACCCTGGCTTATAGTGTGTGCTGTCAGATAGCGACTACTCCTTCATTGTAAGTGACTCTCTCTCATGTGTGACATGCAGGGACTCAGGCCATGATTCTTAACAATGGGAGCGATATGCATTCGTGCATTGTGTATGTTTTAGTCCCCCTCCCCCCTGTGCGCGCACACAGACACACACAAAACAAACCCATATTACTGCTAGGCTTTCGGGCTTTCGGTAGGATCTCTCTGAGGATTCTTTGGGGTTCCTCGAGCTCTTAGATGCCTGCCCTCCCATGCTCAAAGACTAATTTGAAAAAAAGATGGCGACCGAATTGCCATCGGCCACCTCTAACGGGAGTGCGGGTGCTTGTGCTGGATTCATGCACAGGTCCTGATCCGGCAAAGTGCTTAAGCAGATGAGGTGCCCATTAAGCTGTAATGGGGCTCCTTACATTAAATGGGGAAGTTCACGCAGCTGTTTGCAATGGCGCGCTTGCGCGGAGTACTGTCTGTAACCATCTCCTCCTCAGCCCCTGCCCAGTCTGGGCAGGAACTAAAATTGGTCTTTTTGCCACGTCCCACGCTCCCTCCCTTCAGACTCCTCACCCTCACCCTCTGGACCGGCGTGTGGCTCGGTCCCTGCCCATCAATCCCCTTGCTGTCCCTGACTCCGCCCTTGCCTAGGTGGTTTCGCCCATGTGGCGTCTGAAGCCTGGAACTTTAAATCCAGCTCACGTTGTGCCAGGCGCATTCATTTTCACTCGTCGCTGGCTCCATCCTCACGTCACTCTCTGCTGTTGTTCTGTGCCCTGTCTGCTCCGCCTCGCCCTACTCCCAGTGCCAAAGTTACTGGGGAATGCAAGTGTGTCTGTGGTACAATGCAGCTTGCCTTCTCTCTAGTTCTTCATCCTTGGACTTTCCTTCCCTGTGCCTTTCTGGTCCGCTACCTCCCTTTTCAGCATCAGGCTGATGTAGATGGGAAGCTCTTCGGGGCAGCTTGGCCTTTTCCCTTGTCTCTGTAAAGCGCTGTGCAAAGTTACAGCGCTGTAGACTTTCAATTAATCCGTGGGCTCCTGCCCTCTCCCTGTGGCCACCAACTGCCCGCCGCTGAATGGCTGACGCGGCCTCCAGCCCCGTTTGGCAGATGGCTAAGTTGCAGGCAGCCAGCAAGGGGTGGGAATGAGTGGAAAGGCAGCACGTCCCAGGTAACACAGTACCCAATTTCACCTGCCCCTATCTATCAAGGAAGAAAGAGGTGGCGCTTGCGTTTGCTTAATTGCAGTTTACTTTCTTGCCATCTAACTTCACGTGCATTTATGACGGGAAATTGAGTGGCCTTCTACAGTGTTTATAAGGAATAAAAAGTATGGATCAGGTGGAGAAACTCAGCCTCAAAGAACGGGCTTGGTCTCATGGTCTTTTTTTAAATGGAAAATTAGAAACAAGGACTTAAACCATACTTTGGTTTTATTTAATGCAATGAGAAGACGTGTGTGTTTTTCCTAGGAAGTAGCTTGACAGTATTTTAAGGTACTTTAGCAGTTTTTTGTGGTTTACAGCTGAGTAAATATACACAAGAGTTAACAAAGCACATAAAAATGATCTTAAGTGTTGAAAATGTGTGACAAGGAGAGAGGCTTTCTGGAAGCTCTGAGAAGGTATTGTGATAAATTGGAGTCCGGCGGTGGATTCAGTTGTGCTAAGCGTTCAGATCTCATTAATTTGCTAGTGTCCCATTATTCCCTGTGTGGTGATGTGTGAGTCAGACTCCTCAGAGGAGAGCTGCTTTTGTGAGAGATCCATGGTTGAATGAGGAGACGCAAGCGCTTACACCTTGATTTGAGGAGAGCACTTAAAGCAGGTGCTTTCTGTTAATCAGATGTTTAAGTGCTTTGCTGAATCGGGGCCTTACTTCCAAGGCTAAAAGGAGTTGGCTAAGGCCTCTTGTGAAGCTTTTGTTCTCACTTTCACTGTACAGATGTCACCCCTTCCAGCACTTACTGCTGATTTAGTTTCACTTAGTTTTAGCTTGTGAGTCTCAGATTACAAAAAACCCTCCTCCAATAAAAGTGTAATTTTCTTCATTTCAGGTCTTGATAGCAGATGACTACTCTGATCCGTTTGATGCCAAGAGTGAGCTGAACAAAGCGCTGAAAGGAGAAAACACTGGCTACATGGAACCTTATGAAGCCCAGAGGATAATGAGTGGTAAGAACATGGGCACTAGGCAGGTGTCAGTGAGATCGATATTTGATATGGGGTGTCTTACACATGACTGCCCTGGTCTTCAACCTAGCTGAACCAAGGTCCTTCTGCTGCGTAACACATCGGAGCAAGTATGAAGATTAAACTGTGTCTTACGTAGCTTTTTGAAACTGCATTTAAGACATTCAGGAATAAAGGGAGTGAGGGAAGGTTGCAATTTGCAGCGCTTCCTGCAGGAGAGAACTCTGGCAAGGCCAGTGCAGCTTTGTGTGGGGCGCTCTTATGGTGGTTCAAAACGGGCTTAGATCAGGTTAGCTTGGATCAGTGTACACCTCTACCTCGCTATAACGTGACCTGATATAACACGAATTCGAATATAACGCGGTATAGCGCTCCGGGGCGGGCGGGGCTGCGCACTCCGGCGGATCAAAGCAAGTTCGATAGAACGCGGTTTCACCTATAACTCAGTAAGATTTTTTTTGGCTCCCAAGGACAGCGTTCTATCGGGGTAGAGGTGTATTTACAGGTGGGTGTCCACACACAAAGTAGTCTTGGTCTAACTATCCCGATATGAAATCGCACAAGTTTCATAACTTGTTTAACTAAAGCGACTTTAGGTTAACTAGTGCAAATAGGCAAGCCCTGGCCATTGGGGGGAGGGGAGGGCATGCTCCTGCTGGGTGGCTCCTGACCTCTTGATTACCTGAATTCCTGATTATCTGAATAAAATCCTTGTTCCCTGTGATATTTGGATAATCTGAAGCATACGTAGATAAATGAACACCTGAATTCACAATCTGCTGTCTGCCTGAGACTTTGGTGGGTATGCCTGGTGGCTGTTGGGATGCCCCCATGATACCATGGCAATGAGTGTAGTATAAAAGCATGGACAGACAGACACATCCTTGGGTTCTGGCTGGTGAAGCTTTAATTCTGATCTAAATGGTTTTTGCATGGGGACCTATGGCATGTTGCTAAGATGCTGGCTTGTACAGCAAGTTCACCGTTACATTAAACAAATGTCACAAAGGGCCCTATCCAATGCCAGTGCAATCAGTGGGGATCTTCTCATTTCCGCAGTGGGCATTGGATGAGGTCCAAGCAGGATTATAATATCTGGGGAGATTAAGCAGCAGGAGAAGCCAAAGCTGTACGAAGCAGCTGTCCTGTTTTAGTATAAATGCCCATACTCCTATTTTTTTAAATAGCACACTTGAAGAGAGGTGCAGAAAATCACCTGTGATTGCATTGTTTATAAGCAGAACGCTTTCAGTGTCCTATCAAAGTGTCATTGGGCCTTTTTGTTTTTATTGTTGTAAATCTATTCAGCCATCTTCTTCAGAGGCTTTTTAGATGAATTGGGTTGAATGCTTTCTTGCTTTCACTGCTATTGAATAAATTGTCTTTTATTTTCAGTCTAAATATCATGGGGGGGGGGAGTGGTTGTACGTTTTTTTTTCCTTTCATGTTTACAGTGTTTTCATTTCTTCACAAATATAAATGTTTGCCCTATATAGAAACTCGGTGTTTTAAATAATCCGTGAAAAGGCCAAGACTGTTACATCCGTGTTGCAGAGCGCATTAGCTGAGATAACCGGCAACGAGCGTGTGTGGATGTGCTACTAATTCATGAGAGAGCGCGTTTTACAGTAATCTTGGTCCAAATAGCGTTCGATGTAGTGGATGTACTGGCAGGCCAGTTTTGTGCATATATATTGGTATAAGGTTGATGTTTAGAGCACTGCAAGGATGTTAAATGATCAGGAGTCCAATCAAGCAAAGTGAGTGCTGAGCACTCTCAGGTCCCATTACATTCAGTGGGAGTAGAGGATGCTCAGCATCTCACAGGAGTAGCCCAGCACCTTTCAGGATTGGACCACTGATTTGTTGTCCACTACTTAAGGACATGGTTCAACTCCTATGACAGCCAGTGGGAGCCTTTCCGCTTACTTTGACTGCAGTTGGATTATGTCCCTTAATAGCTAAGCATCGTGCTTCTTGGTGCTTTATTGCTCGAGGAAAACCAGACGGCTCATTTGTTGGAAGCTTTCAAAGATTTCGTTTTGGATTCCTGTGTCGGCATGCAAGGATCTGTTACTGATGTTATGCAACTGCTCTAACCTATCGTGTTTAAAGAGCACGTTCTTACTCCAGTCTTTGTTGTTGTATGTGAAATGTTCAGTGTTGAATTCCTCCGTGAAGTTGTTAGGTTGGCTGTGGTGACTGACAGGTAAAAGAGCATGTTACAATTGACAGATATGAATGAGATTTCAGCTGATCCGGAGAACTGGCTTAAAAAGAAAAGTACTCTGATTTGTTTCAAAACCTGATGGATCCCAGATAGCGGAAGTCTGCAAACTGAGGCAAAACCTGCCATTTATTTTTTATCTCTCCCAAACACATCCGTGGACTTCTCCCAAGTATCCGAGTTACCTTCCCAGCCTTTAAAGATATTTCAAAACTACTTGCTTAAAAAAAAAACCAAAAGATGGAAATTCCTGGATAAAAAGATTCTGAACAATGTAAAACAGATGAAATGGAAATCTTAACCCTATGTGTGTTTCCCATGTCCGTGAACGATAGGTGGGTGACCAACCGTTCTCTTAACTTCTCCGTATCGAACTACTGTTAACCAAGGCACCGGTCCAGCAACTGGCCCCAGGTGCATGGACGCTGGCTGAAGTTAAGGAAGGCTCTTGGTGGGCACACGGGTCTATCCATACAGAGCACCTTGCCAGGCAGGGACCTAAAACCTTTGGGTTTCATGCTGCTCAAGGTAGGGAGGAGAAGACACTTGGGTTAGTAATGAGCAGAGCCTTCTTGTAACTTTAGTTTCTCAGAATGGAGCCACAGTTCTTAAATATACGACTGAAAGAAAGACAGACTATCTGGAGAAATAAGTTTCCCCCAGAGTCCCAGCCTTCTGTCAGAAATAAGCTAACCGCTTCAATTGTATTAAGTAGTCAGAGCTCAAGCAGGAGAAGGATTACATTCTTTAGTGACAATAACTTTGATCGTGTACCTGACAAATGTAGCTTGTTTGTAGACAAGCAAACTTCCCTTACAGTACTGGGTAGTCCTCCAAGCACTTAATTTGCAACAGCAATGAAATAAGACAGTGAACCTTAGCAGTCACTGGTTTGCCTGATCCAGCACCCTGTCCAGTGTAGACAGAGCTCTCATCTGGTTCAACACTTGCTTTCCAGATAGTGTCCCAAAAAGCGCATTCTTTGCCAGACTGGTGGTTTAGCACGGTCTTCATGCTAAAGTCTGTAAATGAGGAGAAAATCCCTTCGTGGTCTGAGTTGTAATACTGATGCCAGGGGAAAACAAAATGTTCCTGTTACGGAGCAAATTTGCTTGTTCTCCTGGCAGCAACTGATGTTCTGTCTTAGGCACTTGGATCAGAGAGAAATGATTATGAGCTGTCTTCAGTGAATGTTCTTCTGACCTGGAGCCCTGTGAACTCTCTTAGTCTAACAGTGGTCTCTCTCCCATGTTCTAGGGTGGGACCTTGGCTATCCAGTTCCTCAGGAAACCGAAGCCACTTTTTGGACTCCATTCCTTGTGGTGGCCTAGCTAATCTTTATTTTGTAATAGGTATTTTTACAGCACCTAGCACTAGGAGGCGCTGGTCCTGACTGGGACCACTGTAAAATGAATAATAATAAGTTTTGTGAGATGTTGGAGGTGACTCCACAGTTCCAGTTGCATCGAGATCCCTATTTTCACGCTTCAGGGACTGAATTTAGTGTTGAAATTTGGCGAAAGGGAGAACTGATATTTTCCATGAAAAATATTTCCTCTCTAAAAACTAGTAAACCTTTTAAAATATTCCCTTGCTGAAGTATTGCCCTGTTTGCTTTGGAGTTTGGGCTTCCTATAGCTACACCACCATGGTCCTTCCGCTCCAAACTACTTCTCTCTTTCTGATTATACCTTGGACATAAGCCACTTGTCAGACTTTAAAAGGAAACTGCGTTACTGCCTTTGTTCAGAATTGCTGTCCTGAGCTGTGCAAAGGTTAGCTGTGGACGTGCTCATGGCCATTAGCTACTTTTCTTCTTGGCAAATCACCGTTTTCTCTGTTAGTCTCACATGATTCATTTTGGTTATATTTGAAAAACATTTCACATCCATGTTTGCCTGAGATTTCAACCAAAAATTCAGCCTTTGGCCCTTGAAGCTGTAGGCACTGCATGTTTTGGATGAATAAATTGGGTAGATTTGTTATCTAAGGCATAATTGTATTCCTTTCCATAGCCAGGGATAAAGCAAAGTTTAATAAAACCCCAGCATTGTCTTCCTTTATTCTTGTGGAGTGAGCCTGCTGTTTAATTATGTCACAAGTGGGTAGGCAATAGCCTTGATAGGATCATTTAACGTGTTAAACCAGCAGGACAGAACAATATAATTGATTCTTCATTTGTCATTTTATGGTCCGATCGGTGGTTAAGACTGAACAAAGACTTTCTTGGGCAGCAAGGCCCTAAATACATTCAGTGATCTTGCTCGTTCTGCATTTATGCCCTTTACTTACTCTAGGTTGGCTTTCACTTCCCCAGGGATGTCTGGCCCCTGCTGTTTGGAAAAGAGGCAGCTACTGGGGTTGCTGCTAGGCTGCTGTCCCCAGGCGCTGCTCCGGGGCTCCATGGGTCATGTCCGATTCTGGGTAGTAGATGTCCAGTGCGTGCTGAAGCTTTCCCCAATCCCCGTGTAACCACTGGCTGCCAGCAGGCAGGACGCCACCTCTGTCCTCCCTCACCCCACAACCATCTAAGGACCTTCTTTCTGGCTGGGGAGAGGTGGAGGGAGGAAGGATCTGTGCTCTTCTGGGCAAGGAAAGGGGCTCCCTGCTGCTGGGCCCCTGGCCAGCTCTTCTAGCTGTTGCGAGTGGGGCTTCTCTACTGCTTTACCTCTCCCAGCCTGGCTTTTCTCCCACGCGCCGGCCCAGCGCCGCCGGCTGCTCAGAGCTTTGCCAAGAGGCAGCAGAGTGTAACGGG